TCGTTCTTGATGCTGGTGTTCCCATCTTCGAACACTGCTCGCACCCATGCACACACTTCCATAAGCACGCTGAAGTCTCTGGTGAATTTCTGCAGCAGGGATTTCCTCTTTCACAAGAAATTCGATGACAGCACGCTGGCGACACAACATATCGTTGTCGGCCATTTTATTAGGAGTGATACTGGTCACGTGATGCAAGCTATTGACGTCACAAGACACTCAAGGTGAACACAACAGCTGGTTCCACCTTCCATCATACTCTCTTTCATCTGCTGTTCCCAGGTTGCATGCAAAAAAAGTTGCTCATGACTTTCGGTACGACCTACGTACTGTTGCTTTTGTGAACACCAGCTGAACTTGATAATATAAGTAAAAATAAATTGTTCCCCATCTTTCAATAATTCAGTCAATCACAGTTCTTCAACAGTGAAACCATGAGTAACCATGAAACATAGAAATACAATATGCTAATTTATTTTTTAAATTAAACCCAAAAATGAAAGGGTTAATATTTAGGAACACTTCTCAGAATGCTGTTCATTCTGGATAATTATAATGTTATGATACATCCCTCTACAACACCCTTCATTCAATCAAAACCTACATGAAAGCCATAAATGAATAAAGCTTATATACACTCATGGTCAGTTCGGTATCATACCTCGCACACTGCCTGTGGTATAACTGAATGAATGACCAGCAACCAATGTTATGTTTGTCCTCTTTACAGGCAAAGTCATCTTACTTCTGAGCTCAGTACTGCAGACAAGTCAAGATGAACACTACCACTTGAAATGTGATGTCATGTATGTTTTGCAATGTTCTGGCAGATCATACGCCCTCCATCATCAGGACCAAGATACCTCAAATCTCAAAAACCAAAACAAATTCTGTTCTTCAGAATGCCCAATATTTCAAGTGATGTAACGTGCAACATGGTTCTCATAATTCTGAACATCATACAAATGGTTACACTACAGAAGCACTGGCGAATTTCAGGGACAAAATGCGTACAGAACTCGAGTAACTTCATGATTACTCTTCTGGGTTGTGACACTGTGTGGTTTGGTAGATAGGTACCAGTGTTTCACCATGAAGATGGAGACAGCATGCTCATATTTACCAAATTACACCACATTTCATCCTGCAAAACAATAACCTTAGCACTCACCACTGTGAGAGCCCCAAACCCTCAGCAGACAATATTTCCATGAGATGCACTCTGTAGGTATACTGCATATTATCTCAGAATCAGGCTATACAAATCCAAATTCTGATATACCTTTTAACTTCAACATCTTCTATGCACAGTAAGATCGCAGTTTGCATTTACACTGATTTTCTTTCAAGTATCAACAGCAGCAAACACATCCTTATCACAGACATTTGTCACACTACAGGACTTGTACATGCTTACACAAATCTCCTTGGCTGGCAAACTTAGTGCAGATTTGTGTCGGTCCGTTTGCCACAATACGATATCAACACTATACAGACATGGAAGTATGACAGTCCATTGAAAGTATGAAGTTTATAGAGATGTGTTATTAACCATAACACTGACAGAGGAAGATGTAAGCTCGTTTGTAATGTGACAAATATGCTGCAAACAAGGCATGCAGTTCTGCTGAGTACATGCTGAACCTCATAACACTGTACCATACACAGACCACTTCTGCTTGTTGATTGGTCACGTCAAGATCTCGTGGTAGGAAGTAATAAGAAGCGTAAAGGTTCCTTCACCAATCAGTTCAAACTGTGTATCACTAAATTCAGCATTCATATATGGAATAATATTCTGAACCAGTTACTCTCACCGATCTTTTCCAGATACTGTGATGTATGGGAAAATACTCTGAAGGCCTAACTGCCTCCTTCACACTGCAGATATAGGAGTTACATATGCTTTTGAGGGAATCGAGAGACACAGCCTTCAGAGTACAGTTGCCATTAGGACATAAACAGCACAGTGATTTTCGTCACACATTTTCAAACTCAGTAAAGCTGAATATGGATGTGACTACAACTTCTTAATAACAGCTGTGTTAGTTCATTTTGCACTCTGCATAAAACCAGTAAAAGCTTCATGATTATGTAAATTTAACTTCTCTGTTTTCCAGTGTGGTCCTAATATAGAACACAGCAGAAATTTACTTTGTACTCTTGCCAATACATATGGTAGTTATGGCTGATAAAGTGATGTGCAAGTTCTGTGGCAAAATTTCTGGAAGTGATCTGAATCCTCATTCCTAGCCTTTTTGTTTTAATCCAACAAGTATACTTCAATCTGTCCATCTGAGTGTTATACCTTCTCTAAAGTTTCAGTTACTGTACACACTGCAATACTGACAAGCCAGGCAACCATACTGCTGCTTGTGTACACACAATAGACTTATGCTGCTCACCTACAATTTAAAATATTCTCGTTTGACACCTTACACGCTGACTCTCATGACACTTTTCTGAAACACAATATGATATTAATGTGACAATGTGGAAGAACCAGCAACTTGAATGCTGCTATTTAACGTACTAAGAAAATAAACAGTTGTCTTTTGTACTTTTACATGATCCACATGTGCAAATTCAAGATTAATGGTCTTCACAATTTTGTGTCACTTCAGCCCACATAAAAGCACCCAACTTATCTGATACATAAATGTGTCTGGCCAGCATTGCTAACAAACATGCCGGTCGGAATGCAACTCGCTCTTTGGCTGCCTTGCTGACAAGGCACCACCGACATCCTTTGCTGGTTCAGGCTGAAGAGAGAGGCCTCGGCTTCAGTGGGAACACAACAACATATGAACTAATGCACACACTCTCTCCCTCTTTTTCAGAAAAACTGAGACTGGAAAAATACATTCACTATAAACTCATTACATACATACATACACATATACAGTCACACCTGGACATACACAATTTAATAAATAAAGCATGCACTCAATAAAGAAGTCATGATCTTTGTCTGAAGTTCCTGAATCTCCCGCCTAAGGCTCAATGTTTCTGATCCCTCTGGCCATTTTACTGTCTAAGATCAGAAAACTGAGACAGCATATGAAGTAGCAACACAACATCTGCTGTCTTGGATCCGGATAAGGAAAAGTCTATGAAGTTTACTGTTTCTATGGTCCATGTAGTGCGTAACTTGTGTCTGACAGCAAATTCCCCTTGTACAACAATTTCACACGCTCAAAAGCAATGTAAACATGTTCAATACAGTTTGCTCAAAGAGTAAACTGTATCCAAAGGAAACAAGAAGCCACTCAGTACTTCAGAACTACTGATGACATTTCCAAAAGTTTCGGTGCTCAGTCTAATCTATAACTCAAACAAAAAGTATCACACTTCAGCATCAGGCCACGAGATTCTCTGACTGTCCACTAGATGACTCTGCATCTTCTGCATACAGGTGAGTGGGCTGCCCGTTCCCTGTAAGCAGTAACACACAAGAGATGCTTTTGGCAAAAGGCTTTATAGAAAACAAAGAGGAGGAAACAAGAATGTAGTAAATTGTATGGGCATGTGAATGAATGCAAAACATCTCTTTGCCCTTAAAGTGTATACAGTAAAATTTGCTTCATAGGATTCAGTCTAAAACAAAGAACCTTGCTCGGAACAGAAAACTGCCAAGTAAAAATTTCTAGCAAGATACACAGTAATATCAATTACACCATCTCCTATACATCTGACATAATCCATCTTAGTATTAAAGCCATTACCTGTAATCATTTTTAAACTCCATGCTGTATATTCTTTAACCCCTTAATTCCTAATCATGAGATTCAAACTTTTTACTTTTCCTTAAACTTCTTATTGGCAATGACGTTTTCATCAGCTTTATTCTGTGAGGGGTGAAGTTTGTGTTGAATAAATGTCTTGTTATTTCTTTCTACAAAACCCTCCCCTCTTAAGTGTGTTGTCTGATACATGATCAAGTACTGTCTATGTATGATTTGAGTTTTCACAGCGGTGACTATGAAGAATGCCATCTTCTGGGATGTGGCACCGTGTAGATCTTCTGTGAACTGACATTCCTCCAAAACATTGGTTGACACAAGATCTACATGGTGCCACATCCCAGAAGACAGCATTCTTCAAGTACTGTCTATGGTTACCAAATTTAATTTCAGCACAATATAAATTCTTTAATATTTTTCTCATAAAATATGATTTGTTGGGTTGTCAATGAGCAAGACCGAAGATTAACGCAAAAATGAATCACTCATATGTTCTGTATGGTTCACATCTGACATGCAGACCCCAAAACCAATCAAAGTACCACAAAACCTCCCATGATACATTCATGCATACAAGTAGCCTAGAGACACCACAAAGGATTCAGTCCATAATATCAGTTCTACCAATATTAACTGAATTCAATAGTTAAGGAGGGATGGTTTTTGACTAACACATTTGTTTTTTTTTATTAACATGACTTCTCCACAGCATTCAACAAACACAACTCAACTTTACATTAAATTCTCAAGAACATCTCTATCATGTTAGTTAGAGACTGGATGTATTGGATAAAACATGCTGTGGAGAATTTTAGCATGAACATTAAGTGTCAAAATAAGGAACCAACATTTCTTTAGCAATGATTCCAAATTCTGCAATAAGGTACAAATCTAGAATTATGCATCAAATACTATAACTTCTGTCAGACACAGTTCTGTGGCAGATTAAAGTTTACTTATGACCTCAATACAGACAAAATTCAGAGTTCAGCGATGGATCCCAGTACTGTCGCAGCGTTTGAGCACCAAGCAATACAAAACTAGACCATAATTCGAGAGATATTTCAAAGCTTGAACATATAACAATGTGGCATGTGTAAGGCATAAAATATAGCCAGGGTGCTTCACTTGGAACAGGACCCAACTTAATAACCTCATACCATGCAATAATTTACTGTTGAAAATGAAACTTGGCAAAACTGTGCACTTTCTAATGCTGACCCAGTGCCTACTGCCTGGTCTGCATCAATCACTTCAATCTGTAATTCCACATATGCAATTGCAACATTTGTTAATGCAAAGCAACATGCTGACCTGTGTCTCCATGTGGAATAAAACGATTTCATCATCCTCTGTAGCCCAATTATCTCCGCATCTACCGAGGTATGTACTCGCCAAGATCATCTTTATCCACAAATTACTGCACAACTCATAATTATTAATTTGGGGTTCTTTCCAAATGAATAACCCTGTATGTTTCTACACATGTACCTTCACAGTGCTTCTGACCCACAAATCCATGTGACAAGATGCACAGTNGGTACCTAGACTGTTACATGAGCATACTGATTCACAGTGCTTCTGACCCACAAATCCATGTGACAAGATGCACAGTTTTAACCACCACCAACTCATGCATCAAGATACAATAATTGTAATAAACATTGCAAAGTAAACAGATTGGGGGAGGGCACATGGTAGCATAGTTGGTCAAGGCACTGTGCTACAAGCTGGAAGGTTGCAGGTTCAATTCTTCATGAGGTCATTGGATTTTTCAATTGACCTAATCCTTCCAGCTGCACTGTAGCCCTGGGGTTGACTCAGTCTCTAACAGAAATGAGTACCAGGAATAATCCTGAGGGGTAAAGGGCTGCTGGTGCGTAAGGCTGACAATCTTACTGCCACCTGTGAGCCAACTGTCCAGAAAATGTGGAAGCCTCGACGTCTCACAACCCTAACACTACAGACCTCCATTGCCCATTATTGAGATTGATTTACCTTTTCTTTTTCTTTTACAGATTGAGGGTTCTTGTCACGACCGAAACCTTCTTCACAGAAACAGAAACATGAGCAATGAGTGAAGACAATGAGAGTGAGAATCCTGGGGGTGATCATTCACTGACGGTGAATGGTGGTGATGAGCCACCACAGAAACCTGGAGCCGGTGCATGGGTTCTCAGAGAGAGACACAGTGACATGTGCAGCATTTCTGTGATGTTTTGTGAATGAAATTTATGTTGTGCTTGGATGTTCATGCTAGCAGTGATGTTGACTTCTGTTCTGAGTAACGTTCACCACACAAAGATGAAGTGTCAATAAAACACAAATCACAGAGACACAATGCACAGCTGTGCTGAAATTACATGACATCACTTCCAGCTATATGACTTATCCTAAAAGCAAGAATGCATTTCTTGTCAATTAGAAAGATCCGCCTTTTGTGCTGTCAGATTCACTTATATTGTCCAACTCTGAGGGATGAAGTCAGGCCCACTGTTCATTTAATATACAGCTGTCATATCCTCATAATGCAGAACATAAGGCTGCAATACTGGGAGCTCTGGCCTGAGTGCATGTATTATAATGTCCAGATTCTTCCAGAATCTGTTCAGGTGATGTTGAAGGCTGGGGTTCCCTAAGAACTGATGAGAAACTTTCTGACATGTAATGTGCCTATAACAGTAGCAGTGAAGTTCAGAGACGAGTGAGTAGTAAGTGTAGGCAGTTAGTTCCTACATTTCAATTTCTGTACAGTGCAGAAAAGCCAAGAGAATGGTAAGTACAGTACTGTGACCAGAAATGTTGCTGTGATGTTACAGAGAAACAAAGAACTGGTCTCAAGACCATAAGTGGTTATGGACAGTGGGAAAATAGTTGCTCCATAAATTGAAAATTGTTACAATATCACTTTTAACAGACTTATCTTTTTAATGATTAGAATTTACTTCTTTCACATTACAAACCTACAATTATATGTGTAATGTTGTTCTCAATCAAAGCAAATTACATAAGTTTATTCTGAAACAGTATTCAAAGCATCCAGGAAAAAAATTTCAATGTAATAGCTAAAGCTACAACAAAACAAAGACTATCGCAATCTGCAACAAAAACTACAGCACTACAGAAAACATATTGTAACTAACCTAAAGCTGAGGTGAAGCGTTCTCTAACTGAACTTTTAATTCAGTTTCATCAGCTGTAAGTAAAGAAACATTTGCTCATGCAATGATGCACTATTTGATCAACAGCAAGAGAGATGCAGAAACATGCATTGCAAGTTCAGCACATATATTTGTGTGACTGCACTAGTATATAACATTTTGCGGCAATGAAAGACTTATGTGGGGACTCACAAGTTAAGAAACGTGCATAAAAATAACACTCAACTGCAAGAAAAAATCATTATTTTTATCTCAGCTGGGCTACAGACTACTCGACTGTGGTTTTTCATAGTTTTCCTCAGTCCCTCCAGGGACATATCAATATAGCATCTGAAATTAGGCTAGAAATGCTTCCTTTCACATCCTTTCCCATTGATTGGCTATCCTAGGGCCCTGTGATATTAACTATAAGTTCGCTAAGATCGACACTAAATAAATCAGAAATAAATAAATAATATTCAGAACACTATATTTTTGGGCTCTGTCCATTGTCTGGTATTCTAAAACCTAGAAAGCACTACATTTCGGAAACTGGATCTGTTTCTGTCCTCAGGTGAGGGAGTGACACCTACTCTGTTGGGTCTCTTAGAAAGAGCTAAACTGCAGGCCCAGTCATTGAGATTAGCTCTTTCTAAGGGACCCAATAGAGTAGATGTCTCTCCCATCACCTGAGGACGGAAGCAGATCCAATTTCCGAAATGTTGTGTTTTCTTGTTTTTAGAATACCACACAATGGACAAAGTCCGAAAACCCAGTAAATCTGAGTATTATACACCATTATCAGAACCGTTTAAAATAAATAATAATTTTTTACTTCCTAGTTACGTTTTGCTATTGCATTAGGCTTCAGTTGGCTGGACATGCTCCTCTGCATGCAACAACACGAGACATACCTGCAATGGCTTTCTCAGCTTGATGTCTGTCCCAGCTGATGTAGTTAGCAGTGAACAGGAAGAAGCCACCACCAATCAGTTCAACAACACATGTCATGAACAGAGAGTACTGCAGACTATGGAACTCAACAACTGGATCGACAGTTCGGCCTGATGACATGCTGGACGACAGCGACAGAGAGCTATTGAAGCTGGCTAAATAGGCAGCGTTTGAGGGCGCTAGGGCAACCTTCAGTGCTTCAGATACCTGAAATGAACACAGGCTTCACACAACAAGCGCAATGAGGATCACCATCCACTTCTCACATCTGAATTTGGGAGTGCCACCAGTTTAACACATCTACTGCCCTGGCCCTGTACTGAAACTCAGCCTACAGTGAGAGCCATTGTTCCATGCAAACTGGGTTCTGAACCCAATGCATTCAAATTGGAAATGGAAGCAAATAAGTAGAAAACATAACTAGGGCTCTTATTCTGGGCTCTATCCATCATCTTGAGAGTTTTCCAGACCACAATGTTTTTTAAATCGATTCTGTTCCTATCATCAGGTATAAAGCAGGAAATGTTCCTACTCTGTTGGGCCCATCAGAGAGAGCTAGTCCTTTCAGTGACTGAAATTAGCTCTCTCTTATGGGCCCAGTCATTACTGTTGTTCTTGTTGTGGTTGCAATCTCAGAAATGTATACTGCCCAAACTAACTTGCTGGGTATATACGTGGTGAAATCCAAAAGTTCCCAAAATATATTAATAAAAACTATTGCTTCTTACCTGGATCTTATTCTGCACCATCACCTTCAGAGTAGTCCCCTTGAGAGCGCATACACTGATCCCAGCGTTTCTGCCACTTTTGAAATGCATCTTGGAAGTCTTTCTTTGTTAGGGTGTTTAGTACCGTCTGCGTTTCCGCTTGAATTTCCTCAACTGTATCAAATCTTCGCCCCTTCAACTTGAGTTTCATCTTGGGGAAGAGAAAGAAGTCACATGGAGCTAAGTCTGGCGAGTACAGTGGGTGGGGAACAACCGCCATCTTGTTTTTAGCCAAAAATTCCTGCATAATGTAAGGCGTACACGATCATGCATTGTCATGGTGGAGCACCCAGTCGTTCGTGCGCCACTTCTCTGGACGTTTTCTCCTCATGTCCTCCCTCAAACGCC